TTCCTTCGTTGTTGCAGATTTTGCCGCTTTTGCTAATGGCTTTTTACTTTCTGCGTCGTGGTATATGCCATCTGTTTTCACCAATGTGAATTTCGTCAGTCTTTTAGCCCATCCTTACTTTGCTCTGCTCTTTGTTTTGTTTTTTCTTATAGCTTTTGAACGCCATTTTTCGTTCTAATTTGTTCCGTTTTATCGCTTTTTGTTGTATGATATCTGCCCTTGGTATTTTTAGTCGTTTTTTTTTGTAGTTTCTTTCCTGTCACTTGTTCGCTACTGTGCTTTGTTTGATACAGCTAGAATTAATTGCCGTCCTTTTATTATTGTTATGAATTTTTTCAGATATTCTGATGGTCCGGTTGCCTTACATCCCATAATAAAATTGTGTTAACCCTTAATTGTTACTGGAGCTTGTATGCCTGATTGAGGGCCGATTATGAGCAAACACGATACGTAATGGGAAGTCTCACCCTATACTAACGTATAACATGGCGGCCTGCTGTGGTTATTGTAGTGCAAGACCGTGAGCAAGGTCTAATTTTTGCGACAAACTTGACCATCTCATTGTGGGAATTAGTATTCATGCCGCGGAGCTTCTTGAGCATATTAGGCGGGTGATTTTATTGTTCTAACTAGACGGTAATCTACCTAGTGATCCTGGCTAGAAGTGAGTTGCGGAAGGGTAGTTACCCTAGTAGGTGAAGGTTCTATACACACTTCGTCTTTTTCACACACTTTTCGATAACACTGAAAATTCGCTGGCAAGGGTTTGTTACATCTGTCCGATAGCCACGTGGGATAGTGTAGTGCACCAATCTACTAGCTCGGTGTACTAGGTAGGGGCTTATTTAAGAGTCAAAATGCGTGACAAGTGTGAAGTGTGCGCTGACGGTGGGTGTACAGATGGAAGTTAAATTTGGCGTTTCAAAGCCGACCTCCGAAGCCCGTTTTGTTCCTGAAAGGCAAAGGAGGACCGATGCTGCCATCAGTGGAACATGTTAGGTGCCTCACTCTCCCACCTCAGTCCTCATTCCCCTCGAACGAGTAGACTGAT